TTCCTGCTTCAGGAACTGGACCTGTGGCAGGATCAGCCAGGCCTCACCTGCACCTGAGACTGCATCACTGCCTGGGCACTTCCTTTAATTCCAGTATTTCTATGTCACTCTCAAAGCCCAGGCAGCCCCCATTCAGCCAGGCACTGAGTTACTGCAGAATTAATAACGAGCCAAAGGAGAAATGGACAATCACCAGGACTCTGCCAGTACAGAGAGATGCTACATGTGAAGAGGTGATGCTGAGGAGACCACAGACACAAAGAAGGAATCTCCTAACTTATCTGTCCCAGGCCAGCTGCATGCTGGAGTATCTAGGAGGACATTCAGCCAGGAAACACAGCCTGTGCCTGCTGCAGCACTCTCATCCCTGGCTCAGTGCTCTCATCTCCAGAGCAGGCAGAAGAGCCTCTAGCCCATTAACCATCAGCTCTGCAAGGTTCCTTCTGACAAGTGTTGACGTGAGTGCACATGGAGAGGTGCAAAGTGCTGCATGGCTGCAGCCAGACTGCTGGCTCCACAGAGCAAGGAAGCTGCTCCATGCCCTGAGACACCTTCTGAGCCCACCAGGGAGGAACACACACAATCCACTGGATGCTCAGACCAGCTCATTGCTCTATCACTAGGCCTAAACAAGCAAAATCAAAGGTTACTGATCTAAACCCGAGCAGGGAAATGAAAATAAAGGTGAATATGAAACTAAAATGAAGCTATCAAACACAGTGAGAAGGTAGGAGAGTGATTGAAAGCACTGTGAGGGAGCAGCTTAGAACCAACCTTTTTTCATTGGATGGTACAAATCCGGCTGAGGATCTAGCAGGAGGGAAAACAAAAACAAAAATAGCAGAGAAAGGAGATTAAGAGAGAAAGGAAAAAAGACTTGCGCATGATTTCTGACTCAGACCCTGGGAAAAGCTTTTAGCATACAGCTTTCTTTAAGCTCAGGACTCTGTTCAAGCATTTTAAAAATAAATACACACACACACCAGCTGTCAACACCTGATGATACAAAAAATATAGATTTTTTTTTTTTTAAATACAGAGAAGTCCTGCAGCCCTTCAGTAGGTCACGGCACAAAGGCTTCATGTTACGTGAGAGCATTTGGTTAAAGACTGACAATTCATTCCCAAATCAAGCCACACAGTAAATATTTCACACTCCCTACAACATGGGAAGAGATAAAACAATTTAGCAAGGAAGGAACTGGAAAGACAAGCCAGCAGCTCAGTGTGAAGCACTAGTGGCACTGCCCATGGTTGGAGGCTGAGGGGCACTGCTGGGATGACTGCTTTGTTCTTAGATCACCCAAAGGGATGGAGCTTCCTGAGCCACCAAGCCTGCAGGCTAAGGAAAATCACCCACATTTTGAAAAGCCAGTGAACCCAGTTTTCAGTTCCACATACCTTCGTTTTCAGGCAGGGCTGGGAAGGTTTTCACCTGGAACGGACGGAACGGTTTCCCCTCCAGGGGAATTTCTTCGCTCTCCTCAGAGCTCACTCTGACATCCACCTGGGACTCAGAAATGGAGGATGTGAACTGATCCATGTCTGCACGCTGCTCCTGGAGCAGCTCATCTGAAAGGAATAACAGGAAATATTACACAAACTGCATGAAGCCTGGCAGGAGCAGGAAGGGGCAGATGGCTGGAGCCGGGCAGGGCTGCAGGGGAACACTGCTCAAGGTGCCAGGTTACCTCATCTTGCACATTGCCAAGTCTCACCTGGAATTCTCAGTATAGGAGAAATACATTTGCATGTAGAAATACACACAAATAAGGGCTAAGAGGTTTGATGTGGCAAGAAGTTATGGCAAAATGGGATTAAACTCCTATAAAGCAAGAAACCATCTGCTTATTTTTATGGATCTTTTTCATCTCCCTTTGAGAGAGCTTTGCTGTTCTGGATGTTGCTAACTCTTTTTAAATGGACAGCTATTCTGTCCCAGAGAATATCTCTCCTGTGGTACCTAAGCCTAAATCCAAGTGCTTGGTGTTGAGGGCATCCCCTCAAAGAAGCTAGGAACCTTTCTGGAGCCCTCATGAGATAGAAAAGCTTGCAAGCTAACACGGTGGCACGGGAGCTGGCACAGAGACACTCACCAATCTCATCCTGGATTTCTTCAGCCACATATGGCACCTTGTAGAGCAGGGACAAGCTTTGATTCATCCGCTCCTCAATCACATGGAGATGTGTCATCACCTGCAGATGCACAGGAGTGTGTTGGAGTAGGCAAAGACTGTCAGTCATTTAACTGGCACTGGTATGTCACTTGTTTAATACAGTATCTGCTCCTGGTGGATCTGCCAGGACAGACAACAGAAATGGGACACAGGTCCATCTAGTCCAGCTCTCTGGCACTGGCCACAGCACTCTCTGGTACATGGCACCCTCAGTATTTTGGGATAGAATAGGGATAGAGAGGATTCAGGCAACTTGCTGTAAGCAGCTCCCCACTGGAAACACTGAAGCTGGTATTTCCCAAACGCCAGGTACAGCCAGAATTCACTGCTTGCAGCAACTAAACGCAAGTGCCCTATTAAATGGTCTATCACTCCTGACTAGTGGAAAAGACACAGGCAAAGGGAGCAGACAGTATTATTTATCAACTCTGGTCTCAGAACAAAGGTGCCTTTCAGAACAAGGGTGCCATTACATTTGTCTTACACCCACTACATCCACCCCCTGGCAACAGCATTCTCCCTTCATCTGAAAAATAAATTCAAACTCTGGGCAACCTCAAATCACTCTTCCCTGGCATATTAAACTCCTTGGTGAAGTCAAGCCTGACCTGAAGAGGGTGCTGCATAATCAGGGATCACGTAGACCAAGGAAAAACATGTATATGGATGCTCAAACGTTGAGAAAAGCTGAGGAGTTCAACCTGACTTTTAAGAGCAAGGATGAAAGCAATTTAATTTTACATGTGGCACCTTGTCAACCAAGGGAATCGATGGAGGAGCTTAAAGTGCAGGTAGAAGTAAAGCGAATGGAAATTGAACTGTACCACCCACATTCCTTGCATGTGATTTGTTGACACTGCAGCCTTCAGAAAGAATTAAGGACTGTTTGGGTTTTAGCTTAAGGACACAGTTCACACACTCCCTCTTGGGCTTTGGCAGCAGCAGAACAAAGGGTCAGGGTGGGCCGTGCTTGATATGCTAAAGCTGTCTCTGAAAATGCTACCACATACACATAGCACAAAGCAAACAGCAGCTTGTAAATACCACAGTTGCTGCTGCTCTTCCCGAGGATGCAGCTCATCAAGAATCAGGGGCAGACAGACAGAATCAGGGGCAGACAACCAAGAGACAGGAGTGGAAGCTACACCACTAGCACCCAGATCCATGAGACCAGGCACCTCCAGGTGTGAGCTTCACTTCTAGAAAATCACTGCAACACTACCCTACACCCCACTAGAGGTGACAACAGACTTCAGTCCCTGTCTTACTCTTAAACCACAATATTTCCATTTACTGTTTATACAGCAAAGTTGTTTTTTGCCCCAGTAAACTGGGACTGGCAAATCACACATAACATTCCTACAGCTGTGACTGGACAGTTATCTCTGCTTCTCCCTAAACTTGTGAGAGGACTCACCCTTATGAACAGACCTTTCAGTGTTAGGAGGTCATTCCTAATATGAATCTTACTACCCAGATAAAGGAAGATTAATTTCTGGCTTTTAAGGAGTTAAAGATATTGCAAAGGTACACACAAAAAAATCCCAACAGACCTGTTAATAGCTAACAATGGAGATACCAACTGCTTGGCAAGGGTGATGTGCTTTGGAAACAAGGCAGTAACTTTGCAGAGGCACAAGAGAATTCCAAAAAACCCAAAACACAGGCATGGTGAAGAACAAGTCTAATGAAATCAGCACATACACACGAGGTCTTGGAAGAAGTGACAAAGTCTGCTCAAGGAAGACCGAGTCCCCAGCAAATAACTCCAGGGGTATCTCACAAAAGTAAACACAAAAGTGATACCACACTAGTTCTAAACCCCTAGACTTCTCACTGTGGCCAACAACAAGGTGTGGGTAAGGCCAGAGTTGCAGTTTGTAGCACTGAGCCAAGGAGAACTGCTGTGGCAGCCCGTGTGGGGACAGGCACCAGGCAGGCGGGGGGACCGCGCAGGTGGGAGCTGCCGGAGCACCCAGCAAAAAGGAGAAGGCTCCTGGAGTCTCCAGCTGCTGGGGAACAATGGCTCTCTTGAGAGGAAGGTTTCTCATACCTGAGATTTCATCTGTGCAGCCTTTTCTGGGTCAACTGCCAGGACGTGCTGGTAGTGGCGGATGGTGTGCAGGCGGTCCTTGTTCTCGGCACGGACGTAGCGCTTGAGCGCCTGCAGGATGCGGTGGGGCTGCGGGAGACAGCGGGTCACACACACACAGCCTCACAGCACTGCAGGCATCAGCCCCCCTGGTACAGCACAGACCAGTCACAGAATCACAAGGGTTGGAAGGGATCTACTCAGCCCTGGTGAGACCTGGTGGAGTGTTGTGTCCAATTCTGGGCTCCCCAGTTCAAGAGGGACAGGGATCTACTGGAGAGAGTCCAACAGAGGCTGCAAGGATGGAGGGACTGGAACACCTGCCTGATGGGACTGAGAGACCTGGGGCTGTTCAGCCCAGAGAGGAGAAGCCTGAGGGGGGATCTAATTAATGTCTATTAATACATGAGGGCATCAAGAAGGCAGGGACAAGCTCTTGTCACTTGTGCCCTGGGACAGGAAAAGGGGCAATGGACTCAAACTGGAGCCCAGGAAGTTCCACCTCAAGATCAGGAAGAACTTTGTTGTGAGGGTGACAGAGCCCTGGGACAGGCTGCCCAGAGAGGCTGTGGAGTCTCCTCTGGAGCCTTTCCAGACCTGTCTGATGCCCTTCTGAGTGACCTGCCCAAGTTGTTTTTGTTTGGTTGTTTTTTCTATTTTGTCCTCCTCTGGCAGGGGGGTTGGACTCAATGATCTTTGGAGTTCCCTTCCAACCTCTAATATTCTGTGATTCTGTGAGTCCAACCCCCCTGCTGCAGCAAGAACACTCAGGGCAGGTCACACAGGAACGTGTCCAGACGGGTCTTGGAAGTCTCCAGAGAAGGAGACTCCACAATCACCTGTGCTAACCTCTGGATATCCCCTTTTGAAATCGTGGCTGCCTGACTCAGAACACTATGCATTATGAACACTAAACAAAGCCACAGGTTTTTTAACGAGGCAGAAATTGAGTCCATTAGGAGACTCACTGCAAAGTCTTCAGCACCAACCGCCACAATGGAGAAAGCTTTACTGGGAAACTGCTCCCAGCTTCTACCTCAGCAGGTGATGGTTTTAAACTGAAAGAGGGGAGATTTAGGTTAGATATTGGGAAGAAATTCTTCACTCTCAGGGTGGTGAGGAACTGGAATGGGTTGCCCAGGGAGGTTGTTGATGCCCCATCCCTGGAGGTTTTTAAGGCCAGGCTGGATGAGGTTTGTGCAGCCTGGTCTGGTGGTTCCCTGCTCATGGCAGGGGGGTTGGAACTGGATGATCTTTGAGGTCCCTTCCAACCTTCATGATTCTATGATTCCAGGTCACAGGCAGCCTTCTCACCAAGACATTCCCACCTTCCACCCTACTCTGTGCCACCCTCTGTCCCAGTTGGTGGCAAAGACACTCACCCGTGGTGGGTCAGCCTGCAGGGCAGCCAGGTAGTTCTCCAGAGCAATCCGACGGCGATCGTTCAGCATGGCTTCCACACGAGCCAGGTGAGTTTCCACAAGCTGCTGCTTCTCACTTGCTGCCTCTTTCTCCAGAGATTTAACCATGGCCTCGAAGTGCTGGAACAAAGGAAGGAGTCCGTATGAAAGGCGCTGCATTTGTCAGGGTCACCTGCTGTCATCGCTGCTCAGCACAAATGGAGCCTGTCACCCTGCATGTCCTGGGCACTCACAGAGGGAAAGGAGGGCACTGACAGACTTGGATGCAGGTCTGCAAATTCAATAGTGACAGTTTGGCTTCCAAACTTCCCTCACTACCCATTTCAAAGGTTTGAAGAGGGCATGTGGCCTGACAGATAAAGATCATGCTGAAGCTGGGAGATCCAGAGTGCACTGAATGACTGACACAGTATGAACCCTTTCACAGAACCATAATCATACAGTGCCAGGTTGGAAGGGACCTCAAGGATCATCTGCCAGCCTTTCTAGGTACTACTATAGCATAAATGAGATGGCTCAGCACCCTGGCAAGCTGAATCTTAAAGTGTCCAATGTAGGGGAATCTACCACCTCCCTTGGGAGATTATTCCAATGTCCAGCTGTGCCCACAGTGAATTTTTCTTTTTGAATTTTTCCATATGGGCTTAAAAGCTGGACTCAGCCACTGAGTCCTATACTGGTTTGAGGGAACTTCATATAGGTGTCACTGCCAGAAGAGCCTGCTCCTAACAACCCCACACTGAGAAAATCCCTGATTAACTTCACAGTCTAACTGAACTCTCCTCACAAGGCAGACGATTGGCATTTTGGCAGCAAACCAGCTTTATCTGCTGCCTAAGTGCTTTTCACTAAGTCTGCCCCAACAGGAAATGTGCATCCAGAGAGCCAGGGCCAGTCTGAACTGGGCTGTGAGACTGCTGGTTACTGCAAAACAGGCCAAAGGTCTGAAGTTACAATTTGGCTCTGGTGTTGTTCCACTTGAGGGGTGAGACAGCTTCCTACTGCTGGGTGTAGGAAAGGACCTGGCACAGCTCTGGATTATCTCCAGCTTTAAGAACAAAGCATGCAATTGAAACAAATCTCCTCTAAAGGCAGCTGTTGATAGAGCAGGAAAGCTGTTCTTCCATCTCAGTTGTCTTTTGGCTTTGGATATAACACCAGTAACTTTCCTCTTCAGATCCTTCAACTCTTACCTGAATGAGGGTCTGCCTTTCTGCCTTGGGGAGATTTACAGCTTGGTGTTCTGCTTCCTTCCATTCCTTTTTCACCTGGACAAGGAAAGGACAAAACACATCAACAAGAGACAAATTTATGTCTGGTCTCTGTGAGCCAATCTGCCTTGCACAGCCTGGCTAGGTTTTGAAGGCACAACAGAGCTGCTGTGGGGATGAAACCAAGCACTAGACCCCTCTGAGCAGCCAGCCAAGTGTCCCCAGTGATTCTCCTCTCCCAGGAATGAGGAGATGAAAATCTAACTGCCACGGTGTGTGGCCACATTCAAGGAACACAGGGAAGGCTGGTGATGGGAGTCAGTTCAGCAGCAGTTTCACAGAAGAGGGGCAGCAGAAGGGACTGGAGCCAGATGCTCACCCGGTCCATGCGGTTGTGGTGTCTGACTTCCAGCTGCTCCTTGGCCTTCTGGAAGCGGGCGTGCTCGTTGTCATCGGCTGGGGTTTCAAAGTAGACATCCACATCATCAGTTGGCACTGCAGAGAGGGAAAGGGTAAGTGGAGGCTCAGGAAACTGTTTCCTGGACTGCATCATTAACAACCTGGCAGGCTGAGTTTGCTGAACCACCACCAATCAGGAGGCCATTTTGGTATCTGTAAGCTGCCAATTTACTGCACAACATCAGTGGGTTCCATCAGCCCAAGAGAACAGCAATCACTGCAGCTCCCAGCACCTGTCCTCACATCAGCTCTGAGACCAGCATTATTCAGCTCCAGCAACACAATTACTTGGGTTGCACAATAAAGAACTGGTTTCCTCTTCCCTTTTAGATGGCTTTGGATAGTTTAACTGAATTTTTGTGCATTAGCTGTTTGCTGACAAGCTGGCTCCAGACATCATTACATGATTAGGGAGCTTGATAATAAATCTGCAGAAAACACTACCCAGCATTTTGCATTTCAAACCTACCTTCCCTACCAGATGCACCATGCAGGACTAACAGGCAATGATATTAGACAAGACAGCAACAGAAGGAGGCTCAGTGTAACAAATCAACTTGTCCAGCAAACTGGATGGTTTATATCTTTATGACATTCAAATCCAACAAAGGGAGAAATAACATTTCAGAACTGACAACCTCAAGCACCTCTAAAATCCACACCAGGGGCTCTGCTCTATGTACTGCAGTTGAGGAAATGCTCAGCAAAGTTTCTGTGCTACAGTTTTAGAAGCCACACACCCAGAGCCCTTTCTGAAAGGACTTCAGGCAAACATGATGCACTCTGTTGTTACCCTTTAGCAGAGTGAGGGCAAAAACGGAAAATTAAGGCAACATTTCAAGTGTTTGAGTCCTTTGGGAGGGGAAAAAACCTCCAGCAGGTCATCAAAAGACAGCAAGCCTCAGAAAAATAATTAGCTTGCAGTTTAGCAAGCACCTGAATCCACAAATCTTGACTCTAACTAGGGAAGGAGAAGTGAAGAAGGGGAAAGAATTGTTGCAGATGTCAGGTCAGTACTGCACTCAGGGCCTGCTCATGGAATTTCTGAACCAAGCCTGAACACAGAGGACCCTCTTTCCAGCCCCAAATCCCTCTGTAACAGGACAAACTTTTGTATAAAAAGCTCCTGACATCCACATCTTTTATTTCACCACTTCAGTGAGATCAGCCCAATCTAAAGCACTTGCATGAAGCCCATTTTGTAAATAGGATTATGGCTGTACAGTCAGACTGCCAAGCCCCAGATAACACAAAAAGCCTTTCAAAAGGCTTTAATGGTAGCTGAAGTGGAAGTGCTGAGGTTCAACAATAAGATTAATAAGAAGGTTAAAATGTTTTTTTGGTAGTTTTATCATCTGACATAAAAGCCAGTGGAAATGGGTGCCAAAAACCTCAAGCTCTCAAAAATGCAGAGATGGAGTCACAATTCATATTTCAAACTCAGCTGAAAGTGGGAATCTGAATTCTATATTACTTGTCTGATGTTTCCCCAAAATACAATAGCAGGAGGATGATGAGCAGCAGCTTTCAGGACCTGTCAAACACATGTATGGTAACATGACTGGGAAAGCAAGAGATTCCTTCCATATGTTTGGGAAAAAAAGCCAGTTATGGAGACAGGCAAGCTGTGTGCCTGCACAAGAGGTCAGAGCCAGCCCCATGTCCCTGCGGTAGATCTGGAAGCTGACACCTAAGCCCTCAGCAAGAGCTTCCAGCCAACATGAGCACAGACACCATACACCAAGAGCCACTTTCCCCCCAGGAAAGTCCAGCCTGAAGACCTAGAGAAGCAGAGACAAGAGGAGGTTGCTGCAAGAGCACAGACAGAACTGCTGCAGACACCAGAACCAACAGGGTGAGCTACACATGAATCCTCTCTTGACCTAGGCAAGGAGGAGGGGACACGGAACACCAGACAGACAGAGGCCAGCTGCAAAGGGGCCAGTGGGAGGCAGGACTTACTCATCTTTTTACACACAGCCATACAATACTCCTCTGACTCAAAATTGTTCCTGTTGCCTCCGCAGCCTCCATATATAAAGCGAATGCATTTTCTCTTGTTAGGGTCGAAGTACCAACGAGGCATCACAGCCCGGCAGGGCCCTGTCAGGGCCTCCTGGGAGCAGACAGCTGTGTGGAGATGGGTTAGAACATCAGCTGGTGAGGAGCACAGGCCTTGCCCAGTGACTTACACAAAGCACAGGGGCTGTACTTCACAGATCCTGGGGCACCAGCACCGGCCTCAGCCTCACTGCGTCACCAACCAAAGAGCTTTTTCTCAGTTCTGGGGGGGCATTTTTAACATGGCAAAAGCATTTGTCACAAAGCTTGCCAGCTCTACTGGGCAAGCTGCCTGCTCTTGGTGCTTTGGAGCAAACACACAGCAGCAGGCTGCCCCAGCAGTTGTCTAAACGTGAAGCTTCATCTGCAAGAGTGATTTCTCCTTAGCTAGAGGCTAAACCAGCAGAGATCTGTCTTGCTGGTGCCTCAGCTTTATGCCTCAGGTGTCCCAGTGGTAGAGCTTCCACTGTAGGAAACCAACATGTTGGAAAGGAAACCCATTAGGGCTGCTTCAAGTATTCCAAGATGTCCTGTTCTGCTGCAGTCTGCCTGGATGGACACTGCATCTTGAAGGTGAGGTTAAGAGCCAGTGAAAAGGCAGGCCAAGCAAAAGGAACACAATCCTCAGCCACTAGGTTTTTCATTTTGAAACCTCTCTACACTAAATATTGGAACTCCAGATAGCCAGGGCACATGGACTGCTCCACAGCAAGCAGGCAATACAAGCAGTGGGTTATTCTGGGGCAGGAGAACAGACATAGTGTACAAGTTAGCAACTGTTCATAGTACTTCAAGGAAAAAAACAAACACTGCAGACCACCAAAACAGACACCCCATCACAGTGTTTCAAGTCTGTTTCATCACCTGCAGATCTGTACCAGCCCTGTGCATATATGAGCCAAGCCTTGTTTCAGCTAGTAGAATTATCTGCAGCATGCTGGCATTTTACCAAAAAGATGCAAGAACTGCTGGCAATGATTCAGTGATTTGTAGCTAATTGAATTTCACTCCCTCTCCTCTCCTCCTTCCCCTGCAAACACTTCTACATGTAAAGAGAGGACATGGTGTAAGGCTGAGGCACCACAAGCCCAGTAGATCCCCTCTGCAATGGCACCTACCACTGAACAAAAGCTACTGCAAGTGTAGTATGGGTTACTCCTGCAGTTTTATTACTCGTACCACAAAACTAGGCCAGTTATCTTGACTGACTTTCTATCATTAAAGAGAAGGGTTTATGCAAATGCTATTAAAGCAGCACCAAGTGCCTTCCTCACCCTTAAATGGCACCTTCATGTCACCTCTGCAGAGTATGGCCCACTCTACAGTAAGCTTCCTTTTTGCAAAGCCAGTACAAGACACCTAATCCAAGGTAATCACCCAAAACTAAGATTTTAAATTCTTAGTGTACCTCTGATTTTTTTTTTCAGCATCACCCTATGCAGATATGGTTTTCTGACTCAACACTGCACCTTTGTGGAGGTGCTGGTTCACTGTGCCAAACACTGGGCTTGCTGCCAGCAGAGCTGCTGTTTATCTGGAAACATATGGCCCATGCTCTAGAGAGTTAATTTCAACACAAGAAACACAAGCACCATCAGCTTTCCTCTGTTTGCCAACTTATCTGGCAAATAAAACTTCCAAGTGGCATTTACTGACTTGATCAAAAAACCCATCACCAACTGACAGCCAGCAAGGACACCCTCCAGGAAGCAGGAGGCCCAGAGGCTGGAATGTGTCTTACATTTCATGTCACTGCTGACTTCTTTTTCAGGAGCAGCCTTTTCATTGCTGGGCTCTGTGGGGGTCTCTTCATTGTAATCATCAGTTTTGTAGCTGTCATAATAGTAATCACGATCTTCCACCACGTCCTCCTCCTCCTCCTCGCCTTCGTCTTCCTCATCCTCATCTTCCTCCTCCACAGCTGTTCCTGTGAAGTCTTCTACTCCTGCCTCTGTAGGGAACTCACTGAAGGGATACAGATCAGTTAGGGGGCAAAGTTGAAGCTCATCACTTTGCAGCCAACCTTTGATCTACCAGAATAATGATTCTCTTTTCATCTCTTCTAGAAACACAAGACATGGGAAAACACAAATGGACCAGCTATTGATCAGTCCATCAACAGCAGACACAGGACTTCCCTCCTTACAGACACACCTGCTATTGCAGGCAGAGCTGCTCCAAGCCTCTGGCTCAGGGGGGTTTCCTTGCCTTTTCTCACCAGCTTCCCCCCAGTAAGTGAAAGTCCAATCCATTTGGGGGACACAGCTGCTGAGCAATCAGTCTTTTTGGCTGTCTCAGATGAAGGGAGAGGGGCCTGATAGCTCCTCCAGTGACAGGAGCACTGCAAAGCCATTTGACCCTCTACAAGGCTTTTTCAGGCTCAGGACACTCCTTTGGGAAACTCATAGGCAGGTTTAGAGTAGATATTAGAAAAATTGTCTTCACTGGAATAGGCTGCCCAGGGAGGTGGTTGAGTGTCCATCCCTGGAGGTGTTTAAGAGATGTGCAGATGTGGTGCTGAGGGACATGATTTAAGCACTGGAGTTGGTGGAGTTGGGTTAATGGTTGGTAGAGTTAGGATATGGTTGGACTCAATCTTAAAGGTCTTTTCCAACCAGAATGATTCTGTGATTCTGTGCAATTCTCCTCTCATTCCTCACCAGAAGGGAAGTGCTGTGTGAAATATTCACAATACAGCAGCCTCACATCTGTGCCATTCAGAACCCTACCTTTTATAAACTTCATAGTCTTCATCCTCATCTTCATCCTCTTCCTCTTTAGACAGAGCCTCATCCACAACCTTTGTCTGAGGACAACAGACATATTCTGTTCCATGGAACTGGTCTACTCCACAGGGCAGCAGCATCCCGTAACTGTGCAGGATCATCCCTTCTGTCAGACAGGCCTGCAAGAGGAGCCCATTCATGTCAGCTTACCAGTGTCCATCCCTGGAGGTGTTTAAGAGATGTGCAGATGTGGTGCTGAGGGACATGATTTAAGCACTGGAGTTGGTGGAGTTGGGTTAATGGTTGGTAGAGTTAGGATATGGTTGGACTCAATCTTAAAGGTCTTTTCCAACCAGAATGATTCTGTGATTCTGTGCAATTCTCCTCTCATTCCTCACCAGAAGGGAAGTGCTGTGTGAAATATTCACAATACAGCAGCCTCACATCTGTGCCATTCAGAACCCTACCTTTTATAAACTTCATAGTCTTCATCCTCATCTTCATCCTCTTCCTCTTTAGACAGAGCCTCATCCACAACCTTTGTCTGAGGACAACAGACATATTCTGTTCCATGGAACTGGTCTACTCCACAGGGCAGCAGCATCCCATAACTGTGCAGGATCATCCCTTCTGTCAGACAGGCCTGCAAGAGGAGCCCATTCATGTCAGCTTACCATCATGCTCTTGCTTTGGATAAAGCCAAAGTTCACCTGTCACAGAACCCAAGAATTCTACCAATGGTCTAAAAGGCAACAGCAACATAAAACCTAAGCCTGAACAATGGAAAATGGATTTAAAACTTGTAGCTTAAGCAAAACCCTCAGAAAAGGCCCAGACTCAGAGCCATGCACTGCTTCCTGGTGTTAACCCATCAAACAGCCCCCAACCCCTGGCAACTGCACATTTTGTCAGCTTGGCTGAGTTCAGCAAAAATAACTAGATGTTTTGTGCCAGCTCCAGGGAGAGAGCACTTGAAGGTAACACAACTGGTGTTTGCTCTCCTGGGCAGGCCATTTCATTAAACTTTATCTGTTAAACTTTACATTGGAATAAGTGAATAATCACCCAAATGGACTTTGTGTCAAGATTATTTTAACAGGCTAGAGAGGAAAATCAATCAGATAACTCCAGAAAAAGCCAAATGCAAACTGTGATTAGACATTATGTCTATATACTTCTCTTAAGCTAAGAAAATACGTGGCTTTGTGGCGCCCCAGAAAAGAATGAAGTAAGAAAGGCTTGATTATGTACCTCAGAACCCCTTTGTGCTTTGCTTTGTTATCACACGGATGTAAACTGAGCTCAGGATTTCTGGAAAAGTTCTCCAAGTGTATTGAAAGCAAATGATTTTTAAATATCCTCAATATTAACAAGTTTATCCTCAATTAAAAGGCAATTCCCCTAGCACAGCTTTATTTAGATGGGTTTTTGTTCCCAAGACTCAAAGAAATAGATAACTTCAACTGGTGCATCCTTAACCCCATTCTTTACTAGCACCATCACAACTAATCACTGTGCTGCTGTTTCTGCAGTTGCTGCTTCTACAAAATGGAAAACATGTACATTTCATCATGATTTTACTTTTATTATCCCCAGTTCAAACGGGTGTGCAGAGAATTTGAAACATTTTTGCTAGTCAGATTAAAAAAAACCCCACAAACCCCCCCCATGGGCTAGATTTATTCTGAGAAGATAATCCATCTCTTATGTAAAACCTCCACTAATCAGTCACAATGAAACTCAGCTTTTCCTCAAGCAAGCACTTCCAACTAAATCCCCAGCAGCAGCAGGTACATTAACCCAAAAACGTGCAAGGAACAGAGGAAACATCACCACTGTAGCTCCCTACCCTGCAAAGAAGGATGAGCCATTGGTTAAAGGAATATCCTCAAGAGCTGATCTCAATCCCTAGCTCCATCCTAGAGCATGATCTTGGGCAAGCTACTTAGGACAGCTTTTCAAGGGTGAAGACTAACTCAGCTACACTGGTTTCTTAGGTCACTTGAGTACTTTGGTTTTCCACTGCTCTGCACCTCACCCAGAGATAAAACACTGCTATGCTTCACTACTAGAGCATCCAAAGGGACAAACCCAGGTAAATATTCCTGTCACAGTGGCTCCATTACCTCTTTAGCCACAGTGTGCCAGTGCTGGTGGCTTTCACACACATCCATCCTCTCCTTGTGGAAGAACCGGCACTTCTCCGGCACCAGCAGGACATCGCTCACAAACTCCCCCACTGGAAAACAAGAAACATCCATAGTTCACATGTGTCCAGCTTCCAGCAGAAAACAAAGCCAAAGTCAGAACTCCAAAGTACATTTTGCTGAAAGGTTTGGTATATTCTTCAAGTCAGAGCCAGCAGCAATCTGTAAATTTAAGAGAATAAGTCCCAGATTTTCCAAGGTGAAAAGAGGAGTTGGGGCTGAGCCCTGAATCCTCCTGCAAACCCTGAGGCTGAGCTGAAGGCAAAGTTTACAGTGCATGTTAATAAACAGTCCTTCATGGAACAGACAGGATAGACTGAAGAGATTTCACACAAGTCTTTGAAAAGATTGCACCTGCATCCAAACTTTTTCAAACCACCTAGTCACCAATCTCTAAACCAGCTGCTTCATACCAGAACTAGTTCGTGCTGTCTGGTGCTGTAACAGCCTGGAAATGTTTAGGTGCCACAAGTTTTATCTATGTTTTTAATATCTGGGCATCTGAGTAAGTCTTGTTTGGTTTTGTTTTGTTTTAAACAGTTTCCAGATGGTTTAATTCAGGATCAACTGCAGCACATTCCCTGACTCGGACAGTCCTAAGCAAAACACAGAGAGCTGCAAAAATAAAACCTATCCAGCCCAAAAAGAACCCAGAACCAGAGTCAGCAAATACACTGCATTCCAACACTCAGATAACCACAGCCTCACCAGCATGGAGACATTTTGGCACAATCTTTAAACCAGAGTTTTGCTTTTGAGGAAGGCAGGAGGGAGAGAGAATCATTCTCTACAGACTCTATTAGCTCAGACTTAAAAGCCATTAGCCTCAGTTTCCACCACAACTCAAGTTTGGTACCAACACGTGTCAAGTAAGTATCAGAACTTCACAAGCATTAGTTTCTGTTCCAAGAAGTCTTTTGCAAACACTGCCAATGGAACCCAAGCTGTGACATTTTCTCAAATTTGAGATTTTGCTTTCTTTTTAAATAAGGAAACTCTGAGAAGACCTGGAAAAGATCTTGGGTCCAAGTGTTTCAAAGCAACATCCTGACTGGCAGCTTTTGGAATCCCTTGTCAAAACTGGAGAAGAGTTCTTTAAGTCAAATGCCTTTTCTCAGGGAGTCTCCAGGGAGAATTATTTGCAAAAAAGCCCAAACCCTTCAACATTAAGATTTCAAAATAAGTATTTTGCACAATTTGCAGCCCTTTAGTACTGATACCAACAGCTCATGGACACTTCTAGGCACTACACACAAGTCAAGCAGAGTTTAAGGACAGATTATGTGATGACAGCTGCAAGATAATTAAATGAACTAGCATTTATCCTCCCTTTTCAATTAGTTACATTTTGAGCTAATAGACACAACCGAGAAATGGTATTTTTCCCATTTTCTTCTCTCAAAACAAGGCAGTTACAATTTTGAGTTAATAATCCTTCCTTCTTCCCTCTTAGGAGAGATTAGTGAAAAAGTTCCTGGTAAGAAAAGTAAAACTGAGCAAACTAAGATTAAGAGACTGTGGTGCTGGGGATTGAAGGCAGAAGACTCAAAATGATCAAATACAATAACCAGTTGAAAAAAAAAAAAAAAAAAAAAGGAGACATTTTGAAACAGCTGTTTTGAAACCGACTGAATCCTGGGCATAAGACCCGGGGGAGGTTATCTCAGTTCCCCTAGGAACTGGAAAACCCTTACACCTTCCCCACCCACGGCCTTTGCTATCACAACCAGAAAAATCCTCCCCTTTTTCAGATCAGAGCAGGCATAAGAGGTGTTCTCATGTCACCTAACAGCTCAGCCAAAACTGTCAGCAGTTTCTTTTCACACCTTCCCAGGCTAAGCCCTGTTCCCATCATCCTATTGTTACCTTTATTTTTACAGTTCAGTGAGAGCGTTAATGGGTTCTCCTCCCCTCTTCACCTTTGAAATACAAGAGAGCTTTTGTTGGTGGGGGGAGGTGGGAGAAGGTTAAACGTGGTATGATGGCAAGATCCTACCTCAAGACAGCCTGGGCATTGATGGAGCAAGGAAGACACCAGCAGGAACAGCAACAAAAATCGACTATAATCAAAGGTTTTGAAACCGACTGAATCCTGGGCATAAGACCCGGGGGAGGTTATCTCAGTTCCCCTAGGAACTGGAAAACCCTTACACCTTCCCCACCCACGGCCTTTGCTATCACAACCAGAAAAATCCTCCCCTTTTTCAGATCAGAGCAGGCATAAGAGGTGTTCTCATGTCACCTAACAGCTCAGCCAAAACTGTCAGCAGTTTCTTTTCACACCTTCCCAGGCTAAGCCCTGTTCCCATCATCCTATTGTTACCTTTATTTTTACAGTTCAGTGAGAGCGTTAATGGGTTCTCCTCCCCTCTTCACCTTTGAAATACAAGAGAGCTTTTGTTGGTGGGGGGAGGTGGGAGAAGGTTAAACGTGGTATGATGGCAAGATCCTACCTCAAGACAGCCTGGGCATTGATGGAGCAAGGAAGACACCAGCAGGAACAGCAACAAAAATCGACTATAATCAAAGAGTCATGTGGAGCCCAGAGAAACATAATCAAATGGAGCAATTTATGGACAGCTAAACATAAGTAGAAGGTATTTCATACACACATGGACTACTGACTTGCAACTCAGCCCTGAAAACCAAAGGTGCCCTCATGCTGGGCTGAACAAGTCAAGAACACTGTGAACAACATTGATTAAAACCTGAAAGGGATAGTTTCAGGGGAATCAAAGTTTAGGGCACCAAAATCAGCTGCAGAACAGGCTTGAGGGAGGATAATTTCTACAGGAGGTAACCCCTTATAAATCCAGAGACCTTGATTTCATCCTTATGTCCATTAGAAGCTCTCAATCTAACCAGCTGGGTTTGGTTGCTTCTCAAACCTGACTTTCCATATCTACAGAAAGATGCATCATTCTGCTGTACCCACACCAAATGTAATTTCTTATGAAATGCTTTATGACCATCTAGTGGAAGGGATTACCCGTGGGAGAACAGTACTCCTACAGGTCTGCAGATCTGCTTGTGTTCTCCTCTGTCAAACCACATGCTAACCTGAGATATGAACACAAATGATGACAACTGGTTCCCACCAAAGGCTCCTAGCAATCAGACCATCCAAGACTGGAAAAGATTTCCTGCAAAACAAGTCTTTTAACTTAAATAACTAAGAAAAGATTTAGCCAGCTGAGGCTAAGCTCACTAGTAAGAACACAGGTAGGGCAGCACAGTGCCAGGCACAAGTTACAGGTCAAAAGCTGCAAGGTAAAGAAGTTAAACATGTTGCCTGATTGAAGTGGGTGGACAGATTCTGGAAAGCACCACAAAATCCATCCCAGTTTAGCTCATACTCTTCCACAGTTCAAAGTGGGGACATGGGATACAGCTGCAAGAAGCAGGGCCTCTTTGAAACAGCAAAGTTTAAATATAGGCATTGAAACAGAATGGAGGTCTCCTGCCAAAACCAAAGCAGGAAGCTTGAACACACTAAGTCTCCAAGGCAACAAAATATTAAAGCTCCACAAATATAGGATCAGAGTATTAAATCCCAATGTCTTTGTGATACTCAAATACAATAGCCCTCAGGTTTTATGGCAGTTGCAGAGAGAATGGGAATTTCTTTTTCATGCCAGGCACCATTATTCCACCACAGCTGTTATCAAGCTGTCGATGAGCTCAAGAAAGGCAGAGTTCCCTCTTGTGGAAATAAAAATGTTTAAGTGGAATTTGCATGTGGAAATGGCAACCTGGTGTGGATAAGCCTTAGAAACTCAGATGCTCCTCTCTACTGGAGGCCAGGAGGCAATCCTTTGCTCCCCCCACAGGCATGCACAAACCCATCACACTCACCCAGGCACTTGTAGGGCACCACAATGTGAGTGTGGTCCTTGCACTGCTTCTTCCCCCTCTTGCACCAGCTGTCGATGCTGACGGGCTGATTCGCTTCCACCACGTTTGTAATCTGAAGGTCTGGGTACATCTGTTGAACAGGACACAGAGAGATATTAGAGCAACTTTCCAATACTGAAGGGGCCTACAAGAAAGCTGTGGAAGAGCTTTTTACATGGGTGTGTAGTGAAAGGACAAGGGGCAATGGTTTGAAGCTTAAAGAGGGGAGACTCAGATTGGACACTAGGAAAAAGTTCTTTCCTGTGAGGGTGGTGAGAGGCTGGAACAGGTTGCCCAGGGAGGCTGTGGACGCCCCCTCCCTGGAGGTCTTCAAGACCAGGTTGGATGGGGCTCAGAAGCAGAGAGGCTGATTCTCTACAAAAAAAAAACAGTTCAAATTTCCACATGGACACACATTCTCCTCTGGAGCAAAGTTACAGCAGCTGAAGACATCAAAAAGCCCCAGCTGCTTGTCACACAGGGCTTGAAAAATGGAATGTGTCATCACTTCTTTGTGGCAGCAGAAAGCCAGGTCAATGGGCAGGACCCTTCCTTGGTACTAAGCTGAGGTGTTTGGCTTTGCACAGCAGTGCAGAAGTATTTCTCCGTTCTACCTGCTGCAGCACGATACCCTCTGGATGGGGGCAATCACCAACAAACAGGGTTTAGTAGCATCTTCAGACTCTCTCATCACCTCTCAAGCTAATACACACCCACCTCCTCAGGTTTCCTCATGCCTGCTCCATTTAGGATGTATTCATATGATCTCTGTGCCCTGTTCAAATTCTCAAGTCCAGACACTGATATTTAGGCTGCTGCCAAATGTAGTCTCAGTTATATCAGCCTTGTAAAACAGTTTTAAACATCTCAGAGGCCAGACACAGTGTGTCCTCTCACTGCACCACATCCCTCTGAGAAGAACTCTCAGAACTGAGCCAAACACAAGTTAGTCTCCTCCAGTGCTGATTTGCTGCTGACCAGCTAAACTGGAATCCAATTCCATAGCAGTGAAGATTCAGGCTCCCACAGAACAACTCACCTCCTGGCAGTACTGCAGAATCTCTTCCTTTCTTCCAAAGCAGCTCTTGGTCCCAGAAGTGTCAGGTTCCCATTTTCCAGTCTGGATATTCACATGCATATTTAGCTTCCCACAGAACATGGCAATTTGAGGCTCTGCCACTGCAAACCCTGTCCCAGCATTGGCTGCCAGTGCCTGTGAAGACAAACAAAACATGTTGATGGCTTTATCTGATGGAAAGCAGAACAACTCCAAGAACCAGAAACCCTCTGGCATCTTCTCAGAGAGCTCTGGCTTAATCCAGATAGCACTGGAGTCCTGCAAACTTACTTCACAGCCCTATTCCTTAAAGCTGGTGAGCCCACATCAAGTTTTCACCAGCCTGGTGTTTGTTTTTCCAAGCACTGTTTTTATTGCTGCAACAACAGCTTATCAAAAATAAAACCAAGAGTTATTCACACGTAATGTTTGCACCCACAAAGGCTAAAAAGGACTCTGAAAAACCTAAACTGGTATGTGAGGGTAGCTCATACTAATAACTCTTGGCAGAAACACCTCTGTGAGGTTACACACAAAGCAGGTATTGCTGCTGCTAATAAAATAACTACTTCCCACTGCACTAAGCCTTCCCAGAGTTTGAAGTCCTCAAATATTTGGGATAGAAACACCTAAGCTTCTTGTCTGGACATGCTAGGAAAGATGACTTCTGCTGCATGAGAAAAACACAGCTGTTGTAACCAGCTCCTCAAAGCCTGTTGTCTCTTTCCATGCACCCCAATCTGCACTGCCAGGTTTCTGATGCATATTCCCTGCCCTTCCCACCCTCACCAGCAAAAAAAAAAACAAACCCCAACCACCCAGACCGACATTCGGGTCAAACTGCAGACTGATCAATGAAAACAAGGTCAGGTTCCCTTTCTGAAATCTTGCTGGCTGACCAACAGAAGAAAAAGGGGATTAAATTAAATTGCAGAGTTGGGGTTTTTCTGAAAAGACTGAGTGGATGCCGGGAGCTGAACATCCTCTCTCTCCCTGCATAACCACTAGCTGTTGGAAAAGAAAAAAAGAAAAGAGGTGGTATGAGGCAAAAACCAGATGAACTCCTACACCAAAAGCTCTTTAAGGCATTTAGAGGAATGTAATCCATTTCAAGTACTTCAGACAAGGCAGATGAGAAACAACAATACACAGAGGCTTCAGGGCACCACTGGCCCGAGGCTCTTTTTTCCTGGCAGGCAACACTATCCTTGGCCACCAGTCCTGCCTTCACATTTAACTTTTGCACTCAGAAATGCAGACATCACTGTGGGCACTGCCTGCAGATCCCCAACAACCTACATTAATGTGTATGCTTAAAGCAAATGAAGGTGCCAAGAGGATGAAGGGGGCAACTGGACCTGTGTACAGCTCCTAGCTGCTGGATATCCAGAAAAAATTAACTCCATTATACTTAACTCATTTCTCCTCCTCTTCACCTACACACAAAGCCACTGCCTGGAGAGAAAACATCTCAACGTGCAGAGAGTCAAGGATTGCTTAGCACTGAACACATGGCTAGTGCTTGGGAGTAAGACCAACCTGAGACACAAAAGCATAAATTCAAGTCTTAACTTGAGAAAAATGACCCCTTGAGTTTTAAGAACCACTCAGCCACACATCACTTAAGAGAAACAGTCTGTTCACTCAGATCACAAAGTAATTAAATATTGAACTGCATTAACAGAAACTGGCATGTCCCATTTAAAAAAATGCTTCCAAGTCCCTACATACCTCCCAGTTTGGTGTGGGCACATTTGTTGTGCTCTGTCCTGGACGAGAGGAGGCAGTTACACACCTCACATACAATAGAGCAACAAGGTGTAGTAACTTGGTCCTGTCAGAAGTCAAACCATTTCATGTGCTTCCAACAAGCAAAGCCCAAGCTCTTGCACTGCTTTCCACCCTGCTGGTTTCAGAAGAAAAAGGGAAGCACAGAATGATCCTTCATAACTCCATAAACCCACAAATGCAAACTTTGTGGGAGGGCCTTTTATCTCTCTGCAAACAAACACCACTTTGGTACCAACAACCGCTTTCCACAGAGCACAAGACTCGACAGGTTAAAGGAAACAATCCACAGCACAGTTTTGGTTTATGACAACACTTCAACTGCATCCAAGATTCAAGCTCAACTCCGAAAGGAACAAAAAGAAATGCAAGATCAAGTAGGCACAAAGCATTAACCATTTCAAGAAGAAGACAGTGCATCAAAAGAGAATCAGATGTAGGTGTTAGGAGCGGTTTGGAGATCATTAGTGCTGCCTGTGCTTGACATCTGTTTTCTTCAAAGCATTTTAACAAGCATGCAGCAAAATAAGGTAACTGCACAGGCAGGAGAGGTACAGGCTCCATCCTGAGAGGCAGAAACATCCACTCTTCACAGCTTTTGCACTAGCACAACTCCTGTTCAGACACATACCAAGGCCCTGAGATCACGGCCACCCTGTTTACACACCGGTGGAGCTGCTGTTTATTTTTGCTGTCTCTCCCTCCGGTCTGACACCTCAGACCATGGCAAAGGTATCATTCCTCCTCCGTGGATTGCTCAAATCCTTTGCATATCAGTAGAGTGCTGTTGCTGTAGCTACCAGAACCTGCTAAGCCCCAATTCACAGCTGAACAAATGAGACTAATTACTTGCTTGATTTCATCACTTTCAATCAAAGGGAAGAAGTCTTCTCTTGGATTGCGCTGTTGACTAAATGAATGAACTTTGAGATACACAAGTTGAATCTTTAACCCCGTGGTCTGCAAGATAAGATGTTTTTGAGTTATGGGCTTCCATTTTTCACCACCGACCATCCCCCTCCAGCCCCCATTCCCATCAGTTATTTAATTTAGTGTTTTAATCTCATTCGACCTGTGATGAGAACACAGCACAGTCACATCCCCTCTGCACCCGTGGAGGCCACAGCTTTCACACTGCTACTCAGGTAGTGAAGAAAGTCACCTACAAGAGTTTTTTGGGACAAAATCTGTTTCTGTTCTCCCTACAACTGTCCTCATACCAAAAATAAAAGCAGATCACTCAGGCTGACAATACCTGAGGTCACTAGTCTACCTCCAGGCATCACTTTGCAAAAGGAGGGCTGGGAACATGTAAAACAGCACGAGGCTTGGGATGAAGCCATGTCCTTAGCTAAGCTCTTCAGTGCTTCAGAGAACACACCCGTTCCACATTGCAGGGGGATGAACACACTGACAGCACATTTTTCTTTGGGAATTTCCCAGCCGTAAATGGAAGCAGCTGCATCTCTTGGTGCTGGGGAGCAAGTATTTAATCTCCTAAATCAGCAGAGTGACAGCTCAGGAGGTGCAACATCCACATCATGGAAGAGAGTTGATGCAGTTGTGTGTGTCCTCAGTGAACATTATTTTAGTAGCTATTACCCTATTAATATATATATCCAAAGATGAAAGCAAGATGAATGTTAGTTGGGAAAAGACTGTTACATAAACCATCACGTTCCTCCCTGGCACTTGCATTTACAAGATGTTTCATGATAAATTCTGCTCTGCCTTTTGGTGTAATTCTGTAATCCAGTTTGCTTTCCAAGACCAAAGTAGTATTTGATTCCATAAACACATAAATCTTTGGCCAGTTACTGTCAGTTAAATTCCTCACCCTGTCATGCACTGCCTGATTTACGGTCTTGAAAACACAGGAATTAAAACTTTTAAATATCCTTCTTCTCTGAGGAAGGTGTCTCTGCCCAAGTAGCCTGTCTTGTATTTACTAGCAGCCTCTTCAACTTGTGACAGGGTTTGATGGGTGAGCTTTGCCCAGCCAGGAGCCTGGGCTCTATGCTATAAGAAAGGGTCTCATGCCTTTTCCTCCTGCAAGTATCCACCATCTCAAAGGAGTGATGCAAGGGTAGAGAGATCATGGCCATCACACAGCACAATCATGTTCTTCAGGGAGGATTTTTTGTGGTTTTAAGTAATTTCTGCTCTCCAGTGTCTCCTCTTCAATGCTGGGAACAACAATGGATCAGAATTCCTATCAACTTCTGTGAAATATTTCACATCTACCCCTAAAACATATGCAACACATGGCAATTCTAGTTCTGAATGACATTAATGTGAAAACCACACCCCTGTTCCCTGTCTTGTATCTCTAGGATCTGTTAAACCTCATCACAACATACTGAGGATGCCATCTCTTCACCTCCCTAATGGAATGCTACTCAGGAAACCCTTCTGGAATGCTGCTGGGGGCTGGGGGATTGAAGGGCGACTGGAGTTTCTCTTTTGTGAAGTGGTCATTACATTTCACTGAAGTGAGTTCCTGAGAGCTTTCCTTATTAGCACAAAGGTATCTGCAAAACGTCAAATTTAACTACACTCTGAATTTTCTGTGAGGGCAAATATTACAATAGCCTTGCCCATTTGATCAGATTAGCCAGAATAAGAAGAGTCTTTGTTCCAGCAAAAGCAGAATGACCGTGAGCTTAGCAGGAAATCCTAAGATTCCATTTCTGCTGAAGAGCTGCTCACACAGCACAGTGCTTCTGAAGGAAAACTATGAACAAACATCTTAGGAAAAGCAGTCTCACAGCTAACAAGTTTGGTGCAAACACAGAATCCCAAACTGGTTTGGGTTGGAAGGGACCTTAATCATCAGGTTCCAACCTCCCACCAGACCAAGCTGCACAAGACTCATCCAACCTGGCCTTGAACACTTCCAGAGAAGGGGTATCAACAACTTCCTTGGGCAACATATTCCAGCACCTTACTACCCTCATGGTGAAGAATTTCTTCCTAATATCTAACCTAAATCTTCCCTCTTTCAGTTTAAAACCACCACCCCCTGCCCTTTCTCACAAACATCAGCCACAGGGCACGTGCCCTCCCTGCTGCACAAGCACGACCAGAGATGCTGGCCTTGGTTACTGGGCAGAAAGAAATATCTAGAGCCTCCTAGGAAAACTCATACTGCTTCTGCTTCCCACCAAGCTTCCTCTGCGCCCTGGCTGGATGCAACCACAGAAGATTAAGTTGCTTCAAAACTGAAACTCTAACCTCTAGAATTTACAAGCTGCTGAAAAAAGCTTCGGTTGTGAATTGCATCGACTTGGTGGCCAGAAAACAGATTAATAGCTGCTGAGGGCATTCACTGCCTTGGAGGAAAATGCACAGGATGGTCTGCA